CGGATTTTGTCAACATCAATAAAATGCCAAATAATCATACTTAACTCGTTAAATATCAAAGTTAGAAGAAAAAGAACTTTTATTTAAAGCATACTGATGACTTATACGTGTATTTTGAGAAAAAAAAAATTTTCCGAGATTTTTCCAAAGGAGTACATTGTTGATTTCTTTTTAATTATAGGAAATGCGTTTTTCTAAGATACATAAACTTTTGGGATTGACTGCATAGCCAATACATCCTTAAGCATCTTTTGGCTATAAGTCAAAACGTTTGTCTTATAGATTCGCAATTTTGCAACTTCGCAAGTTTAAATATTCACTTGCCACTACTATTATACATAGAACAGAAGTTATAAAGCGGAGAATATATAACAATATAAATATGTATAACAACTCGGGAACAGTAATTCATAATAATGAATGCATATAAAGAGATGTGAAGATAAGAAGGAAGGATAGAGAGGAAGCGATAAGACTGAAGAGGATGGAGGGGTGCGATAAGAGCAGAACCGGTGTAGGAAGAGGAAGAGGATCGCGTGAACGGGGTTGGCGTAGAGGAGATGGCGGTACGAACTCTCGGTAGTCTCAAGGCGAAACTTGCAAAAGTACATCGCGGCTCAACAGCCCGGAAATAATCGCGCGAGTTCGCGCACGGCGTTGCACGCTGGGCTGCGCGGATCCGTGTTATCGTCGGCTGATTTCACGGCATTTAGTGGCTGCCGAAGATTTGCCGCGACCTACAATTAAGAACGAAGATACGAGCCGTCGTTACTTTCTAATTACCTGAATTATCAACGAGAGGACCTCGACGTATTTATTCGTCATCGAGTCGCCTGATCTTCGTTTATGAAACGATCGTTTTAATCGGCGTAGAAACGAGATTGAAAGAGCGATCACGCTGTGTTAACAATCGATGGATAATAAATCAAACGGGTTGGGGGGGGGGGTGATGGAGAAGAATGAGACCGATTGAAAACGCGATTTACCCGGTAAAGAAGCGGAAATAAGGTCTCGAGGCAGCAGAAGGAGAGGAATTGGGAGCAACGAAAAATGAAAGGTTTCAAATGAATCGCGTAATAACCTCAGTAGCGTTCGTCGTCGGTTATTTTTCTTTTCTCTCTGTCTCTCTCTCTCTCTTTTTTTTTCCATCGTCGATTCTCTCCCCTTCGTTTGTTCCCTATGGAAGAGCTGCTTATGTATTCCGGTGCACGGCTGGTTGCACCACTCCTAATGGAGTTTCCAATATTTTCCTTTCCGTCGACTCGTCTCTGTACCCCTCGTCCTCCCTACCCCTCGTAGCTTTGGTTTTCCCTTCAGTATAGTATCTTACTCTCTCTCTCTCTCTCNTATAACAGAGACAAGTATTTTCAAAATCTCATAACAGTTTGTTTGTATTTGAAACAAAATTTGGGTAGCATCTTTCTCATCACCTCCTATGAATTTTACATACACATACATAATTGCTTATATCCACATGAATCGAACTTGATAGTTGAATTTGCTTAATCTGATTATCGACGAGCAGATCACTTTGCCTTACAAATCTTTGGTAAAGTGAACACAAATTAGCTTACCGTCGGACATAAACGAATTCCGAATCAGCTGAAACCTGTAAGATGGCTGCCAGTTAACATCGTCGCGACCAGAGCGGCTCGTTGCGTTAATCGTCCGAACGAGTTCCAGCTCTCTAATCCCAGAAGCGAAATTTTCGCCGCGAGTGTTCCCGAGTCGAAACTTCTCCGCGCTCACATATTCGGCATTAAGGCGGCGTAGAATCCAATAAGTTTGTCCGTAGGATTAGGCATTAGACCGAACCGGATTATACGTTCGCGGCGCCCACGCGCGTCCGCGATTCCGATCGACCCCTCTTCGGTGGAACGCGTCGCGGGAATCGGGGAAGGATGATCCTTCTCAACTTGTATCAGTCGTTACGAACCACTCGATATTGCCCTGGGACCTATCACGGTTATCCTCGTAATCGCTTTCGCGCGACTTCCGCCGCGGGAAATATATTAAAAAAACCGATCTTCCACGGTGTTCAACCGATGCTCCGATCGGTTTCCAATTTATTATAGTAACGCGCTATTATCTCCTCGCAACCTATTAATGCGATTAACGTCCTTCTCTTCTTCGACAAGATTCATTTTTAAAATGAGAATCGCTTTAAAAATAATTTACTTCGTTGATTTGTAACAAAATGGAAGAATTTTCAAAA